CCCTTGCCAAGGAAACTCGCCAGGAACCTGGCGTAAGCTGCGCTCTAGATGCAGGAGACGCTAGGTGTTTTTAGCTTCTTGATTTTCCCTGTAAGGCGAACCTTAAGGCCTTAGAGATTGGGGTGATTGATACTTAACAACAAGCCAATGGCTAAGGGGTTGGTTTGTGGCCTTAGGCATGTTTTAATCATTCCAACCGGAAAAGCAGAACAAAATTCTAGTTTGACGCATCCTTCCCCTACCCCTGGTCTCTGCCCAAGGCCTTCCTGCTGACCAGGCTGGAGGAGGATCCTGAACCTGGACTGCGGCGCAGACAGCAGCGCCGGCTCTCCTGCGGTCGCGCCTTCACACGCACACACTTGAACGCTTAGCAAGCCTTTTCCAAGGCTGTTCCCTCTTTCCGGGGAAATAAAGCCTAGATTGGAACCTTCTGCCCGGCTTCCTCATTTGGCCGTCTGGTCTGCATTAGTGTTTTTATAAGGGACTCAAACAAATCGAATACAAGGTCACCAAATAATTAACAGTTGTGAATTCCCTCCGTCCCCATTAAAATACTTCCCTGCTTATATTTCATCTTCCGTTTGCCAACGACAACAGGGTCGGGGCAAAAGCGCTGCTGGGCTGATTACACCACTCTGCGGCCCAGGTCCACCCAGAAACCCGCTGTTTTGCATAAACATGACGTACCAGATGAACTTCAATCGCGAGGAAATTATGCAGTTTTTCAAATGCCTTCCCTGCAGCCCGGGTATCCCCAGAATTGTCCTGCTCTGCCCCCTGACAATCACAAACCATAAGGTAAACGGAGAAGCCAACAAAATCAGCGGCAAAGGATCCTGAGAGTTCTTTCTTTCTAGGGTGTCAAGTTCCTCAAGGATGTTCCAACCTCGTTTTGGTTTGTATCCATTCCTAACTGCCTTTCTGAGAGCGCTATTGTAACAACAACAACAACAACAACAAAATACATACATACATACATACATAAAGAATATTCTTATTTCAACGTCATCTGGAAACCCAACTCACAGCAATATGTTTAGACGTATTTGGTTCCCTCCTCCTTAAGAGGTCTCCCACCCACCCACCCCCATTGAAATTATGTGGCACTTTTCACTACGGAAACTGAAAAGTCTGGGTTTTGTTTTCTCTCTCTCTCTCTCTCTCTCTCTCTCTCTCTCCATCCCTCCCTCCCTCCCCTCTGTCACTCAACCCTGTTAAATTCATAGATGTTCTAATTGTCTGCCTTTCCCAGCCCCCGGGGTTGGGGGTCCAGGGTCCCAACACTAGTAGCCCTTTAATGAGTTACTTCATGAGCTAGCTGTAATTTCAGTATATCCCACCTTGTCCAATCTGATCCTATGACTGCATCAACACACACATACACACTTTCTCATCTTTATGGATCCAAAATCATTTTTAAAACCCAATATGGAGGCATTTTTTTAAAAATCAGGGAAAACATGGTTTGTGTCTCTGTTAAAATAAGTACAGAAGTAAGCAAGGCACAGCACAAATCCAGACCCTTAAGTCCAAAATTGCACTCAATCTCCTCACTGGGTCTGAAGAGACTACAGAGGAATTGCTGATCTGGGAAGAAAATCTCTCGATTTTTGGACTTCTGCTGCTTGCCACCATCCTTTAGAAACCTCCTTGCCCCTTACTCTATATAGTGCAGGGTCTAGAATCTTACATGAGCTTCACCTCTCATTAGCTGTGTGAACTTGAGCAACTGTCTTAACCTCTCTGTCTTCCTTAATTCACCTGTAAGATGGGGTGATTATAGAACTTTCCCGGGGGGATGATTGTGAAAATTAAGTGAGATAATTGATGTAGCAGATTTTAGCACAGTACTGTACTTAGCACACAATAAATGTTCGGTAAATCTTGGTTATTATTATTACCCCTAGGTGTTTAAAGAGCAAACCGAAAGAAGAGAGATAAAATTTTTTTAAAATCCTTGCAGTAAGGTCTCAGGAGGGTGGAGAGAGATGGCAGTGGCTGGGATAGCACAGAACTTGCTGTCTTTACAGACCTAAAGCGCTCTTTATTCACTTTGGGTAGATTTTGTCCCCACTCTCCCACTCTCAATCACGGGCTTCAGGTGTAATGTTGGGGGGTTCCCGGGTAAGGGAGATTTTTTACAAATACTGTACATGAGGAAGTCGCTCGTGCCTCGTGGACCAGCTTGGGGGTTCCTTCCCTTTTCTTTGCTCCTCCCCTTGAGGGACCTCTGGCTCCTCCGAGCTAAACCCGCCACACTCGACGGCGATTTAAATATCCCCGAGGCAAGGCGCCAAGTTAGTGCGGCTGGCCCAGCTCTAGGCTGGCCGCTGCTCTTTCCTTCTTGCGGGCCATCCAGGGGTTGGGGGAGGGGATGTTAGGGGGGTTGGCGCGGTAAGAAGCCCCCACGTGAGAGGGGCGGAAGTCCTCGCCAGGAGCCGGGGATGCGCGGCTGGCGGGTCCCTTCCATCACGGGAGACTAGACACCGTTTGATGTGTTATGACATGAACCCTCAATTAGATCGCTGAGTTGAAACACTCCAATCAGGGGCCCGATGCTAAGCAAGCCCCGGAAGGTCCAGCCCGAGGTCACCGCCGGTGACACATCAAATCAAAATCAGTGAGAGGGAAAGTGAGGCTTTCCCTTCATCAAGCTGGGGCTGCAGCCAGCAACGCACCCCTCCTCTGCGCGCCCCTCCCGCCCGTGGCTCCCCGCTCCTTCGCCCCCGAGTGGCGTGCGACCAGCCGCACCGCCTTCCAACTCAACTAACTGCGTTCCCTCGAGTTTTCTGGGAAGCTGGGGACGTGGAGGAGACCGCGCCTTTGAAGTTGCGGTCCAGGTGGTCACGCCTCATCTCCTCCGGCTGTGTGCCGCTCGCAGCCCCAGTCCTCGACGGCAACCCAGGGTTGAGGCCGGACTTCTGGATCTCAGTCCGGCTGGGCCTGGAGACCTTGGCTCATGAACAGAGGCCCCCCAAGCCTGGGCCCGCAGCCAATCCCTCCCCTACTTCTGGCGCCCGGGGGCTCACAGCGCGGTGCCCGGGGTGGGGGTGGGGGCGGGGAGACTGCTGGGCAAGCAAAGGTGGAGCGAGCTCGCATCCGCGCGGACCGGGGGACCCCAGAACCACACCCCCACCCTTGCCTGAATGCCGCTGGCAACCCTAGACAGCTCCGAACAGCCCGCGGGGTCCCTTGGTCCTGTGCTAACCTCACTGGGCGCAGCGAACCAGTTAGGGGTGCCTGCTTGGGGGAGGGGCGGAGGTTCTTGCCACTTCCCTCCCAGGAAAAGAAAATGCGCGCCCAACCGCCCTCCGGCCTAGGCCTCTGGGATTTCTTCCTTTGGAGAAGGGCCTTGAGCAATTTTCTCTGAGCTTCTTGAGTCTCTCCATCGGTGAGGATAGCAAAGAAGGCGGACGATTAACAGAGTACTTGGAGGGAGAGAGACAACCGCGGCAGGGCGGGGGGGGGGGGGGAAAGCTTCGCTGGCAGCACAGAGGCCGGGGACCCAGTAGCAGCACTGCGTAGAAGCCGCGTGTCTGCAAAGGTGACTTACTAGTCCTAAAATCGTCATAAAATACTCGGCGTTAATTTGCGGTCCGGACCTTTCAGCAGCTCGTGAACCTCGCTGACCTCGGGCGGTAGCGGCGAACCCGGCGAAGGCAGGACGCTCGCGCTCAAGGAAGGCGACTGCTAGGGAGAGGCTGGGGGCTGCAGCTGGGGAAGATCCCGGGGACGGGGGGGGCGTTAGCCTGCTCTAAAAAGCTACCAGAACGTGCGAGCACCCAAGGCAGCAGTGGCGGAGCAGCCTCATTAGCCCGAACCCCAGCGCTGTGGGTTCCCGAGCAACCCCACTTTCACTGATCTGGAAGTGGGAGAACAGGAACGGGTCAAAGTCGGGGACCTCATTCTGGGGAAGATGGGAAGTAGATAGCTGCTTAAATCTGTTCTATCTCCATCTTCCTTTCTTCTCATCTCCTTCCTCCCCTTTCCCCTTCCTTTCCTTTCCCGTCTCTGTCCACGTTATTTTCTCTCCCCTTTGGGAGCTTCGTTTCCGACGCCTGTGGAACTCTTCCCAATTTCCGAGACTAGGGACAGCGCGGGGTTTTCTCCAGGGCACTGGCCACGCTACGGACCAATGCAGGTGGCAAGAAGGGGGCGCAGGCGTTTCTGCAGACACCCACACATGCACCCGCTCCCGCAGACGGGACGACGGATGTGGCCCCTGGTAGGAGCTCAGAGAGAGGAGCGTTGCCTGGCTGAGAAAGGTGGACGGTCACACCCATGCACCCGTGTGGATTAAGTACCAACAACCCCCCAAATTCAGCCATTCCTGCCCCCGGCCCGCTCTGCCGGTTGCTGCCTCTACCTCTGCAGAAACAACTCAGGTTGCTGCCTCGAAACCGCGGGGAGCGCGATGCTGGAGCAAAAAAGTCGGCAGGCGCTAGGCTCCCGCCCGGCTGACAATTCCCACACCCAGCGCGGGGACTAGCGGAGAAACCGCGCGCGGAGGGACTCACTTGTGCCAGCATTTCCTGGAGCGAACGGGAGCTTGGGGCTTTCTAACGCCCATTCATGCCCAGGGGCCGCCCTGTCGGTCCCGGCAGCTCAGGCCTTGAACCGCGCATCCCGCACAACGCGGGACCCCGCCTCGACCCCTCTCCAGCCCAGATCATCTGCCTGCCACCTCCCGTCCCCCACGCTTCCTCCGCTAGCTACCAGACGAGCGGCCACCACGCCGCTTTCTGCAAAAGACGAGAGGAAGTAGGAAGGAAGGAAACGAAGAAAGCGAGGAAAGGAGTATTGCAGACAAGAATAAAATCCGCAGCTGCATTCAGAAACTTACTAGGGCTTGGGAAAAACAATTTAAGAAAAGAAAAGAAAAGGGGAGGCGTCCAGAGTGGGAAGGAATTCACAGATGCAGCCTCTTGCCAGAGCCAGAGCACAGCCCTGGCTGCAGAGCTCCAGCGCGAGAGGAGCCTGGCGTTTTCCTTGCCACTTACCTAGTCCCCTGTCTACAAAGCTAGTGATCGTATTAGCCGACTTGGAAGACTGGAAAAAGCTGGCATTGATGCCCATCTTCTCGGCGATGGAGTAAGTCCTGTAGATTGACAGCATATACTCGTGGGGCACCACGCGCGGACTCCTGCCCGGCGGCTCCTGCGCCTGGAGCTGCTGCGGCGGCTGCCGCTGTGGCTCGTCCTGCGGCTGTGGCTCCTGGCGCTCCGGGGGCGCCTGGCCCGCGGCACCCTCTCTCGGCGCCCGCGGCATCTTCCCTTCCTTGCGGCTCCGCATGCCCTTGGTGGAGCCCAGCTCCGAGGACGACGAGGAGGATGAGATGGAAGCCTGCTGGAAACCGGGCAAATCCCACAGGAAACTGATGAGGAAGACGGCCGAGAGCAGGACCCTGGGAGTATCCATGGCGAGCGAGTGGCTGCGTCTCTCCAAGAGGCGGCGGCGATGCAGGGCGCGAGGGGCACGGAGCGGCTGGACAGCGGCCGGGGCCCGGCTCCTCGGGCGGACTCAGAGTGCGAGGAGCCGGGTCCCAGCCACACAAACCCCGGTCCTGCCACGCCCCCTCCCGCCCCTCGCCGGGGCGCCTCTGCCGCGGGCTGCGCGCTGGCTCCAGGCGGTGGTACCTTCTCTCCTCGGCCCCGACCGCCTGGCCGGCCGTTCGCTCCCTCAGGGGCCAGCCCAGAGCCAGAGAAGCCTCGCCGTGGGCCCGGCGTTGAGCAGCCCCGTTCGCTCGGTGGGGTACCGCTCTCCACAGAGACAGGCGTCTGTTCCCGACCCTCGAGGTCAGGCAAAGGCCACCAGTCTCTGGAGTCGGGATCGATGCTAACAGCCGCTGCGCTCCCCTGCAGGCCCCAGCCTCCCCTCGCGCGGTCCTCAGCCTCTTCTGACGCTGGCTTTAGCCGCTTCGTCTCGCCTCCGCCTGCTCCTGGGCTCCTCTCCCCTCTCGCGGCCTGCCCCCGCCTCCGCTGCACCCCCATTTTCCCTCTTTCCCTCCCGCCTGCAAGACTTCCTCCTTCCCCGAGTTCCTTCTGCATTCCAATCCCTGTTTCCCCAGCCTGCTTTTCTTCTCACACTGCCCTCCCATCTCTCTGCCTTCCCACCCTCTCTCTTCCCGGCCTCCCCCTCCCCTTCCAGGGGACCCCTCCCTTTGCAGCTCTACCCCAATCTGTTTCTCTTCAGCCCAGCCTCGCCCCATCACGAGTTTCCTTTATCTGTCCCCGGATTCCCCGTGCCTGGCTTCCCCGCCCAGCGCCTCGCTCATTCCTGGGCCTGAACGCGGGAAGACAGGCGGCGTCGGGCCGCTCTCCCACGGTGCTCGGCGCCCAGGCCTGCTAGGGACATACGCGTCTCCCTGAGCATTTATTGGGTGTTCGGTCACCCACCATAACACGCCCTCCTTTGATCGTCCCAACCGCGCTGGGAGGATGGCGTGACTATTTTCACTATCACGGACGTATTTATTTTTCATAAGACTCAAAGATAAGTGACTTTTCCAAGGCCATTCAGCCATGAGGTTCTGCAGCCAGGGACAGACCCAGGCTCCCACCCAAGCCCAGTGTTCTTTCCCATTACAGCCCAGAAGAGTCATTCCTGGCCCAACATCTCCACTTCGTTTCTTGCTTTTTCCTTTCTGTATGGTTTCATTTGGTCTCAGGTGAATCTCTCCTCCCACACAGTTTTTGTGTGTATTCCCAGTTTCTGCACTCCCCTCCGTCTCACTTTCTTCCCCCTTCGTCCTTTTGATGTTTCATCTCTTCTTTCCCGGCTGAGACCACCCCCCCTGACAGCCTGCTTTCCTGTTCCCTTCATTCCTCCAACTTTCCTAAGGCCTGGGCTGTGCCCTCCGCCCTGGGCCCTGGCCTCCTCCAGGTAATGGCAAACACCCGCAGAGAACTTGTGTGTCAGGCTTGGTTCTAAACCCTTTATAAATAGTGCTTCTTTTAATCTTCACAACAATTCTGAGATAAGTGCTCTATTATCCCTATTTTACAGATGAGGAAACCAAGGCCCAGAGTCACACTGCTCCAGAGTCTGGGCTCTTAACCACTGGCCTGCTGAGCTTAGCTGCTCTCCTCTTGATCTCCTACTTGGATGCACCTTATGGCCCTATCCCAATCCTACTTATGTCCCCTAGTTTTGGTTTCATGATTGTCAAGTTCTGAGACCTTAGATGTGAAGGTGCTTTACTATAATCTTCCTTCCTCTCTCTGTACTTTAAAATGTGTTATTATTTATTTAACAAATAAAAGGAAATGGAACTGAAAGAAAAAAATTATTTCTCAGATCTTTGCCACTACAACAAAGAACAATGTTCTTGCCTTTATGCCCTTCTACTCCTTTATCTTTTGTGCACATGTCCTTTTCCTATTATTGCAATCCAGGGATATTATGTTGTATTCCTCCCTCGTCACTTAACATTTTACCACCAAGTCCGTTGCCATCAATGTCTTTCCTCTGTGTGCCTCTGCCCTTCTCTGCAGGTCTTCACCACCCACCCCTCTACTGGTCTGCAAAACCACACACTCAGAAGTCCTCATTTCTTACTTGCAGAAGCATCATTTCCTCTCTGCTCAGCTGTCACCTTGGGTTGCACATGGTCTTATTTGGCCCACCCTGCATTTCGATTTGTACATCCATCTCTCAAGTATCATCCAGGGGAGGCTTCCTCCTTGTGGTCTGTCTCCATCCCTTCCCTCAGGGAAATCAACACTTGTGGTTTGTGTTATCAGTATTTTAATTTCTATCAGTACAATGTCTGGTTAATGATGATTCATGGTTTCAGAGCTCCCATTCAGTAAGTATGTCTCCTGCCTGCAGTGGTGGCCTGCATGTTCTCTCTTCATTTTGCCCACAGCAATTATCTGCTACAAGTTATCAGCAAACAGGAAACAAAGTAATGAGTCTATTTGCTGTGGCTTAGGACCTCTCAGCATATTAGATGGTGTCATGTGGAACAGTAAATGACACTGGGATAGTGACTACAAAGGTTGTGGCCTGTCATCCTTCAGAATTCCCCTGGGGTAGATATTACTTTCCTTTACTGCTGCCAGTCTCAGGTCTTGGCAAGGAAGGTTCTGGCTGCTCTTTGCCTGAAAAGGCTGCAGTGGTCATTTTACAGGTGAGGAAACAGACACCTACAAACAGTGGAGAGGACGTCAGATCACAAGCTACTGTGTCTCTATATAACCAAGACTTTCTGTCTCCTAATCCAATGTTTTCCCTATATTAAAAAAAAAAAAAAAACTTCATATTTCAAATATAATGACAATGATCCGCGGTAATGTATAAAGTCTGTCCAATTCCTCCTCCGCGAGGCATGTTTCTAATAGGAATCCACTCCAATATTAAGGCCACCCAAAGGCCTTTGCGGGGTGTGGGGGGGGGTAAAAATAAAGATAAAAAGTAAACTACAAGTCAAGTCTGCTTTTAGATCTTCACGGAACATTTTGAGTCTTTGCAATAATGCTATAAAATTTAAGTTTTCAGTCATCTTAGATTCTCTAATAATTTCTTCAGCAGTTTGATCTATGAAGAACATGAAAAAAATGTGAAAGCTTCTTGAGGTGAACTGAGAAGTTCTGGCATAGGCACCTTTAGCAGCTTGACTACGGTTAGATTCTTTTCTTCCAAATAGATGGAAATACACACAACTGTGCAGTGTGGTATCTCTTGCCCCCCTGTGGATGCCGAGGGAATTACCTGAGGAAAACAGAATCAGTACTGCACGTTGGAAAGTTTACAGGCATTCTCAATGTTGAGTAAGAGATAGTGACATCTATTAACACAATTTTAAGAAATTAAAATTGCCTAATTTGTATGCATCTGGCAATAAAACATCCATAAACGAGGGATCTTCCCACCCAGAGACATAAGACCAAAAGCAAATAGAATTGCCCTGTGATTTTCTCAAATCTGTGCTCTTATTGTTTTTAAATTATTATTTTATATTAACCCAGGGAGAGAAAATTCTCTTAAATAAATGAGTTTTTTTCTTTTATTATTTAATTTTTCATTAAAGTGTTACTTGAAAGACAACTTTTATGAAAGTGACTGAGGATATTGGACTTTTAGTATGGGTCCTCCTCATAGGTAAAGGAACCACTCTTTTTTTTTTTTTTTTTCCTTTTTGTCTTTTTTCGTGTCCGGCAACGGATCGCAACCCTCAGTGTCGCGCCCGTACCGGACCGGGACCGGCAATGGGATCGCAACCCTCGGCGTAGCACCCGCACCCTGCTCAGCCAGTGAGCGGGAACCGGTCTGTATGTGGGATCCGAACCCTCGGCGGGAGCGCCACCGCGCTCCCAAGCGGCACACTGTAGCAGTGCGCCACCGGGCCGGCCATGGCCATAAGGGGATCTGGAAATACATCCTGGGAAGATGTCAGATTGCCCAAAATTTTTGCACAAATGGAATCACTTCTTTATTTTAAGGTACTGTCCTCATAAGGTCCCAGTGAAAATACGAACATTATCTAGTAGGATCCCCATTCATACTACCACTATTACACTATCCCTAAAAAATTGATAAACTGATAATCTGATAAGATTAGCTAGCTGTCACTTCTGTGGTCCAAAAAAAAGGAGACTTACGGCTGGTAGATTATAAGGAAACAAAAAGGATTAGGGCAGGGGGGTTAAAATTCTGTTACTTTGCATCCCTAGAGCTTCTGGCAAGAATAAAGAGAAAATGTATCAGGTGGAGCTCAAGTTGCCCACAGTTGCTTCGGCCTGAGCAGTCTTGCTTTTATCTGTTTTTGACATTTTCATAAAATTTCATCTGCAGAATAATTCCCTCAGAAAAGAAAAGAAAATGAAAGCTATTGGCCTAGAGTACTGAGCAGTGTTCTTCAAAGAATGGTCAAGAGTGAAAAACATGTGGAGTCCTGAGCAGCCAGAGGAAAGGTCAGGACTCCATTTGCTTCAAGAAAGAAGAGGAAGCAGGAAAACGTCTAGGAGTGCACACCTAAGATAAAATTTCTTCTTCATCACTTAGACTGGGAGGTGCCAGCCCCATTAATTCCCCCTGCTTTCACCAATTTCTAAGTCTGATTTTCATTTCTTTTTATTTGTTTCTTTGACAAATAAATTTACAGAGAAATGAAATGAAATAAAACAAAGAATTGTGCCAGATGACATAGTACTCATAATTTCTCTGGGCCTCTGTTTCCTCACTCTGTTAGCTGAAGGGGGTCCCAGCTGTATGGAGAATTGGGTCTTAATCGGTCCCATCCATGCATGAGACCAGTATGACAGCACTGAGGTTGGCAGGGAATCGCGGTTCTAGTTCTGGATACCGAAAGAAGCATGAAGACTCACTGAGGGGATCAAATTAACCCAGGCACTGCTCTCCTTTGGTTCCACTGCAGGGAAGGTAGATGTTGTCCAACTGTACTGTAGTTTGCCAAC